AAAAAAAAAAAAAAATTGGTAGTCTCTGAGTTAAAACTTTCTCCCAGATCTCTTCTAAATCTATAAAACTATAGCTGTGTGACTAAGATCTTTTGCTTCTACTTCAAGGCCCAGTGATTTCCAGACTCAGGATTCTGTGGCTCCTTCACTTAAGATTCAGGGATCATTTGTCTGCTGTACCTGGTTCCACGAATGCCCGTACTGACTGGCATTTATTACATCTCACCACATGGAGAGCTCCACTGGGCACCTTAGATCAATGATCCTTATGCTGGGGTCTACTGGCTGTGTTCAGACCAGGAGCAATGGCCACTGGGATTCGGGTACTGCCATTATCTCCACTTTGCAAGTGGAGAAGCTGCCGGATGGGAGGAGGGTGAAGTACCTCCCCCAAGGTCAGCTATTTTGTGGTGATGGAGTTGGCATTGGAATTGAGGCCATTTGACTCTGTAACCTTTGTTGATGATCTCTACACTCTGTTTACCAAACTCCTAAAATTAGACTCTCCTTAAGTTTCTTTACTTAACCTCCTCAGATCCCATTGTCCTAAGAATGTGATATTGACTGTGGCCAGTAAAAGTGGGTGAGCCTTGAAGCCCCTTGCTGGTGAGTGAGGAGACACAGGCTCTCTGAGGAGTATACACAGCCTCCTCTTCCCTCCCTGTCTGTCACTGGCCTGGAGGAACTCACGGCCAAACTGTCCAGAAGAGAATTCTTTCTTGGGCAGCCTTTTATCTCTCTAGCCAGGAGCTTGGGTTGTTCTAGGAGATCTTAGAACTTTCTGTGTTCCCTTATAGCCTCTGGAGCAGACCTGGGCCAACCCTCCCTCATCTGTCTTTTCTCTGCTGACCACACCCAGTACATCTAAGCTTGGGGATGTGAAAAAGTAGCACTTTCCTCTTGATCCTAAAACAGCATCGGTAATAACTACCAATTAGTGGTTTCTGTTGGTCTGGAATTTTTCATGCACCATCTGCCCTAATCATCATAACCCTGTGAATTGGGCATCATCTCTGTTCTGTTGGGAAGATCAGTCTCTTACCTCTTGGAGCCTCTGCGTTTTCATCTGTAAAATTGAATAATAGCTCCTACCACACAGAGTGGTGGTTGTAAGGATTAAGAGATATAATGCAGATGGAACATTTAGTGCACTATTGGCACCTGGCCAGCATTCAGTCACTGTCAGTTTTTGTTACTATTTCCAAGCCCTCCCCCCCACCATCGTTTGCCATTCATCTCAGCCCTGTAATTGTGTTATTTTGGTCTCAGCTGCTGTTTGGAGCCTCACCTCGTGAGTTTGACTTGAGTTTCAAACTTACAATCAACTCAAACTTCAGTTCTTAGAACTTATTCCAGGCATTGAAATTCCTGACCTAGGTTCTTGGCATTGACATCCCTGCTGAGGAGGACACAGGTGTGCAGCAAGCCCTGCAGTGTAAGAGTCACTTCAGAAAACCCTGGGGTGCTGGGTGCAGTGACTCACGCCTATAATCCTAGCACTCAAGGAGACTGAGGCAGGTGAGCTTGAGCTCAGGAACTCCAGACCAGCCTTAGGAAGAGTGAAAGCCCATCTCTAAAAATAGCTGGGCACTGTGGCAGGCAGGCGCCTGTAGTCCTAGCTACAAAGGGAGGCTGAGGCAAGAGGATTGATTGAGCCCAAGAGTTTGAGGTTGCTGTGAGCTATGACACCACAACTTTCTACCCAGGGAAACAAAGTGAGACTCTGTCTCAAAAAAAAAAAAAAAAAAAACACCAAAGAAAAGAAAAAAGAAATCCCTGAGGCCAGAGGATTAAATATCACCATTAGGCTACTGTTAGTCACTTTTCTCGAGTGACATCAAATTATTTTTTGTTACTGTGCAGAAATGAACAGTTCTGTTTGCCCCCAGCCAGAGTAGTGTACCCACACTGTAAAGAAGGGGAATTGAGGCACAGAGGGAAGCTCCCAGTGCCCCAGGGGCAGAGCCCAGTGGCTTGTCAGCCACACCCCCAGCCCAAGGCTGCCTGATACCTGCCCTCACTTGCCCCTCTGCCTCCTCCTGCAGGTTCATCTTCCCCACCACCCGGCTGGGGGCTGAAAGCCAGTTCAGTGATTTCCTAGATGGGCTAGGACCAGCCCAGATTGTGGGTCGACAGACACTAGCAACGCCGCCCATGGGTGAGTCTTCTCGAGGGCATGACGAGTGGGTCAATGGGGTCCCTGCGTGACATGGTGCAAGCAGCAAAAACCAGTTCTCACTCAGGCTTTTGTGCCAGCGAGGAGGAGTCAGTGGCACACTCATCCATCTCTCCCTCATCAAGAGAAACAAGGGTCCCAGCATCTCCCTGCCTGTGCCTTGCAGCAGCTCTCACAGTGCGCTCATCCCTCCCTTCACCACACACTCACCCACTTTCCCACCGCCTACCCAGTGCCTGGCAGTGCTAAGGGCTGGGCACAAAATGCAGAACAAAAATAGTCACAGCACTGGCTGTCATAGTTTATTCTGTTACCACTTTTCTCTGTGTGACCTCAAGCAAGTCACTTCTCCTCTTTGGGCCTCAGTTTCCTTGTCTATAAAATGGGAATAATAACGCCCACATTAGTTCTTCAATCTAACAACGCTTTATTGGGCTCCTGTTAGATGCTTTACTAAATAAAGTACTTCAATTTACTCCTTAGGAACTCTTTGTTTGACTTGTTATTCCTACTAGTACAATCCTTTTAGTAATTTCCTCATCTCTCTTCCCTGCAGCTAGGAAGTGCAGTCCTCCATATCCATGGGTTTCTCATTCATGGACCCAACCAACCTTGGGTTGGAGACATCCAGGGGAAGATTATCCTACAAATTTCCAAAATGCAAAACTTGAATTTGTTGCATGCCAAGCACTACCTCGAATCCACACAAATGAAGTGATTTGTAGGCGTTATACTAGATATAAGTATAGACACGCATCGCATAAGGATGACAATACATTATGAAAAACGAGTACGTTATGTGATTTTGTCATTGTCGTCAGAGAGAGTGTACTTACACAAACCTAGATGGTATGTATTTTTTAATTTGTATGTTATAACTAGAAACCCAAAGTCCCAGCATCACTGCTAAATATCAGTCACTTCCCCTACCTGATCTGCGATGCCAATTATCAAGGGTCACATATCAGGCTTCTAAGCATGCTCCATTATAATCTTTTGGGACCACCATCATGTATGTGATCCATCATTTACCAACATGTTGTTCTGCAACCTAGAGATGATTTAAAGTACACAGGAGTTGTCAGGTGCGGTGGCTCACACCTGTAGTCGCAGCTAATCAGGAGGCTGATGCAGGAGAATTGCTAGAGCCCAGAGGTTTGAGGCTAGACTGGGCAACATAGCAAGACCCAGTCTCAAAAAAAAAGGATATAGGAGGTTGTGCATGGGTTATATGCAAATATGCAAATACTGTGCCATTAATACAAGGGACATGAGCATCCATGGATTTTGGTATTCGTGTGTATGTAGTGGAGAGGTGAGTCATGTAACCAGTCCCCCGTGGATACTGAGAATGACTGTACTTCCTGAGATCTACACTTGGTTCTCTTAGCTGCTTCTTTCTCCAGGTCGCACAATGACCCTCCCTCACTCCTTCCTTTAGTTATTGGCTGTTCTGGCTTCAAGCAGCTCCTCCTCAGGATGCTTCCCCAGAGATGCCTCCTCCCCTCAGTCTGACCTGACAGTGCCAGATCCAGACATCTCCACTTAGCCCTAATCTGAATGTGTTCGACCTTTGACACTCACAGCAAATGAGAAAGCAGAGCACAGACAATGCCCTGCTGTGAATCTTTCCATGGAACTGGATTCCCATTCCAGGCAGGATTCTTGCCACTGCACTGACCTTGAAAGTGCCCACTGTCTGCTGGCAGAGGGGCCCACAGCACCTTCGGAGGGAGAGGGTCAACTCTCATCTGGCCCTTGGATTGGATTTACCTCATTCCCAGCCCTGGATTTAAGTCTCTTAAGGACCTGGGGAGACTGTTTTATCCTAATCCTAGACCCAACCACGGGCTGGGCAACAATGAGCGGAGCCAGTCACTTCCACAAGGCTAATGCGCTATAGCAGCCTAGAACGTTTGCGTGTTGTGCCCTCTGGTGTCCAAATCTGGCTTTGCATTTGCTCACCTTGTAAGTGAGCTGGAGAGATAAATTCTGGAGATTCTCCCTTTTCCCCACCCCTAGTAAATTCCCAACTACCCCAGCATGCTACAAACAATTTCATGATGGTTTAGAGAATCTAAAATGGGTGGCTGAACCCAAAGTCTGGCCCATTTAATTTTTCTGGATCAGTCTTATGATTCTACAGCCCTTAAAGAACTTCACTTTGATCTAAGTGGCTGCTACATAATTCCCAATTTTGTCAGGCCACGTTGAACAGAGCTAAGAGTTCCTAAAACTCAGGTAACTATATGATGCACAGATCTTGCCCCAGCTGGATAATCCATCTTGTGGAAGCAGGTAACTCCTCATGCACCCAGGAAGCCTGCTGGTCTTCCCTCCCTCCACCAGCAGTTAGTGTATAACCAGGCCCTTGATGTCACAAAGTACCTCATGTCCTGTGCAGTCTTGTAGCTTAGCATCTCTTTACCCTGATAGCCTGTCAATATTTGTTCAACATATATGTAGAGGAAGGTTAGGAAGAGCTACTGAGCCCACAACCTTTCTTGTCCTTCCTTCTGACATAGGAAGTTCTGTCCCCAGACGTGCTATTCTGTTCAGTACAACAGAAGCCTCCCAGTTAGCCAGACTTAGATGGGAGTTTGGTTGCCATTTGTGGTTACCTAATCGTGCCTCTTAAGGGTCATGCCCCCACCCCACCCCAAGGGACCTATCAGAATATTTCTCAGGCTATGTAAAGAGGTCTCCCAAGAGCTGTTCTGGCACATGTGGTTGGCTCCATCTTGTTCCCTCTCCAGTGATGATGCAGCATCCACGGGTGTTCTGCACAGCAGCTGGTTGACTTGCCCTGGTCTGGCTTTGCTTGGATTCACCTTCTTTTCCCTTGCAGGAGATGTGCACATCGCCATAATGGATCGGAGCGGCCAGCTGGAGGTGGAAGTGATTGAAGCTCGGGGACTGACCCCCAAACCAGGCTCCAAATCCCTCCCAGGTAAGGGATTTGGGGAATAGAATCCTGGCAGGGAGGCTCTGGGTCTAATAAGATCTCAATAAGTATTCTTGACAGTGAGTCATGGCTGGCCTGGAAGACCAATGATGGAACAGGGGTAGGGAAGGATGGAAGTCAGTGCTTCATTCGTCTTTCCCATCTGCGTCTGCTGATTGGCTCATTCTATGCACCCTGTTCACCTCCAGGTTAGGGGATAGAGCAGGCTATAGTAGTCTCTCCTGGACCCCTCCCCAACTTAATTTTTCTCATCCCTCAGCCACTTATATCAAGGTTTACCTCCTTGAGAATGGAGCCTGCTTAGCCAAAAAGAAGACAAAGGTGGCCAAGAAGACCTGTGATCCCCTGTACCAGCAGGCCCTGCTCTTTGATGAGGGACCCCAGGGCAAGGTGCTACAGGTGAGTTACCAGGCAGGGCAGATTCTCAAAGCCTGGAAGTTGTCATTTAAAGTTTTTCATTTATGATTTCTCTGATGCCAAGCTCTGTGCCAGGTGTGTTAGTTTGCATTACCCATTTATTTTCACAGCCCACTGAGGAGTTATTGCCCTCAAGCTGATTCATAATCCATCTGTGGGAGGACATAACTCCTCACTGGGGGCAGGAGGTAAGGAAATTGCCCCCCAGGTTGTATGGCTGCCAGGTAGAACCAGGATCAGTTGACTGGTGTCTTTTCCTTCCCCTGGTGCTGAGTTTATTGTACACCTGCTCAGTGCCAGGCTTTGTGTCAGATGCTTTCTAAACATGATCTTGTTTCAGCCTTTTTTTTTTTTTTTTTTTGAGACAGAGTCTCACTTTGTCACCCTCGGTAGAGTGCTATGGCATCCTAGCTCATAGCCACCTTGAATTCTTAGGCTCAAGTGATCCCCTCGCCTCAGCCTCCCAAGGAGGCTGGGACTACAGGCGCCCACCAACACACCCGGCCAGTTTTTCCTATTTTTAGTAGAGACAGGGTCTCACTTTTGCTCAGGCTGGTCTGAACTCCTGAGCTCAGGCAATCCACCCACCTCGGCCTCTGAGAGTGCTAGACCTTGTTTCAACCTTGAGATGATTCAGTGAAAGTGTGATTCTCTTCACTTTACAAATGAGGAAACAGAGTCTCAGAAAGATGAAGTGACTCACTTGAAGTTTCAGTTAGTGACTAGCAGAGCCTAGTCTGGTGATTCAGAGCCTTCTGAACACTTTGTGTTGTTAGCCTTTCCTGACAGTTCTTGGAGATAGCACCATGCCCATTTCATAGGTAAAGAACCTGAGGTCATGTGAGGATGCAGCACAGTGCTGGGTCTGGCTCTGGCCTCAGATTCCAGCTCAACAGTCCCTGGGGGTAGGTTGTGAAGATTGAGTGATTACATGTAGAGAGCCTGACACAGAGCCTGGCATCTGGACACTATTCGGTATGTACTAAGTCATGGTGGTGGTGGCTGTGGTCTTGCCTAAGGCCCCATGGGTGGCAGAGAAGAAGCCAGGGCTGTCTGGGCTGTCTGACTTCTTGTGTAGGGCTCTTCCTCTAGGTTGAGGTGGCTCTTCCTCTAGGTTGAGGTGGTTCTGTGGCCCTTGGACTTACAGACTTAAAGAACTAAAGAACTCTGGGGTTCGGGGGCAGCAGGGCATGGTCTTGGGTGTCTCTTTAAAAAAGGATTCACCAGTAAATACACAAGTGTGAAAACCACCTGGCTGACCAATTCCCTCCTTGCAGCAACACGGTGGAAACTGAGGCCTGGTGAGGGCAAGAGGCTTACACAAGCTCCACAGCGAACCAGCAGCAGAGCTGGGGCCGTGACTCAGGTCCTGGACTCTCAGTCTGCCCCTTCCTGGGGAAAACTGTTGGCTGGAATGCTGGAAGTTTCTGGAGTCAGACACATCCAAGTTCTAATCCCAGCTCTGCTATAATTACATGTCTCTTTGGGTTCTTCAATTAACCTTTCTAAGCAGCACTTTCCTCTCAGTAGATATAATAATACATAGCACTCCTCACTACATGGCTTGTTATAACAGTTGAAATAATTTACAGAAAGTCCATGGGATCAACTCTGGCACATCTTAAGTGCTCAGTAAGTTGTTGCCTTAAATCAGTCTTTAGATCTGGCTCTCTTTATCCTGTCTGCGCCCAGATGAAACTTACAGGTTCCTGCCTAGTCCTGGAGTCGGGGAAATAGATCAGGCCTTCCTTCTTTTCCTCCCTTCCTGGCAGGTGATCGTCTGGGGAGACTATGGCCGCATGGACCACAAGTGCTTCATGGGCATGGCCCAGATCATGCTGGATGAGCTGGACCTGAGTGCTGTGGTCACCGGCTGGTACAAACTCTTCCCCACCTCTTCAGTGGCAGACTCCACACTCGGATCCCTCACCAGGCGCCTGTCCCAGTCCTCCCTGGAGAGTGCCACCAGTCCATCGTGCTCCTAAGGATGTCAGGAAGAGAGGCTGGGACGGTGGTGTGGGAAGGGGTGCCCACTGGCCCCCCTACCCTGTACATAGTCTTCATGTCTTTCTGGACCCCTTGTCCTGCTGCATGCCTGTTGGCTACTGGGCGTGTCCCAGCTGGCAGTGGAGACTGTCGTGTATGTGTGTGCGTGTGCGTGCGTGTGTGTGTGTGTGTGTGTGTGTGTGTGTGTGACCACATTCTGTCTGTTCACCTGTCTGGGTATAGTTAGTCCTGGTGACTACATGGGCTGAAATGTCTCCATGTCTCTTTGTATCCTGTTGAAAAGAAACCCAAAGGAGTGTTGTGTAGATGTGACTCACCCTAGGAATCTCCAAGGGTGGAAGTGGGGGATGCAGCCACTGGTTGGTCCTGCCTTGTCCAGGAACAAGGGCAGAGCCTGTGCGTCCCCGCCAGTGCCTGCTCCTGCTTGTCTCTGCTTTGTTTTCTGTCTTGTCTTTTGTTCCGCCCTTGCCTCTCCCAGCACTGCCACTGTTTTCTGAGGAATGTAGCATCTACTGCGGCTGGCCACGCTGGGGCCCCTCTGGGAACCCCCATGCCCTCCTCCCCACCTGCGCCGCTCTGGTGGCTCTTCCTCCACCGAATGTGTCCTGCAGCATGTAGCATGCCCACCTAGCACCCTGGCGGGGCCCGGGGAATGCAGATGGTACCAGGGGAGCTTGGGCTTGGAGACTCTCTTCTCTGTGGGGCTGGAACCACCTCCTCCCCATAGCAGGGCACAAGGAGGTCCTAGTCCCCAGGGTGGCCGGCCAGGTGTCCCCTTCAGCACCTCCTATGTCTCTTTTGTCTCTTCAAGCCTCCTCCTCTCCAACATGCCAAAGCAGCTCTCCCAGTGGGGCCAGGAGATCAGCCTCAGAGGGGACCTTACCTGCCAAAGCAGACAGTCCTCCCTGGACCCTGAAGGTGGCCCTGTTCCCCTAAGGGTGTGACTCATAAGAGCAGGGCTAAGGCTGACTTGTTCAGAGCCGCTGTTGAGAATCCTACCTGAATTTGGGGATGAGCTGCATGAAATTGTTCATTTGGGGCTCTATGTTTTGCTCATTTCCAAACCAGGGTCCGTGTCTGGGAGTTCAGACTCACTTGGGCTCCAGCCTCTGGCTCTACAGGCAGCCTGGCTCTGAATTCTATTCTGCCACTGTCACCAGCTCTGTATAAGCAATACTTCCCCCCAACCTCCCTGTCCTCTTGTGTTCCACTGCTGCCCCCTGGCAAGTAGCCTGCCCTAGGCACCTCACCTGCCTCTGCTTTCTCTCCCACCTTGTCTGGCTGGAACTTCTCATACCCACTTAAACCCTGACTTGATTTGACAGCCAGGCCCTGTTGGTGGAGACCAGTGCCTGAACTGGATCCCTGTGAGATATGTCTGCTGGGAATCTTGAAGTCTGGCTCAGGAATGCCCCGATCTGTCCTTCTCCCTCCTCAGCTGTAGGGTGAAAAGGGAAAGGTTGCCCAGGAGATGGGTAGAGCGGCTCTTGGGTTCAAAGTGGAGGAAGGCTCTTTTTCTCCCTCTTCCCCAAACATCATCCCCAAGTGCTAAGATGACTGTGATCCAAGTACCAGAGGCGGGAAGTGTCCCCTGACAGCAGTGGTGAGGTCTCAGCCCAGTGGTTGGCCTCCATTCATAACCAAAGGTGGGGATAGGGGACATAGAGGCAGCAGCTTTGTGAAGATAGGCCATCTCAGCCCAAAGGGCCTCCTTTCCAGGCAGGGTTCCCTGCTAGGCTGAAGCCAGAGTCTGTCACCTCCCTTCTAGGAAGGTAGAAAGAAAACTAGGAAACTAGATGAAGCAAAGACACCCCCCCCACCTCGCGCTGTCCTGCCTGCAGGACAAGAAGAGGGAGGGGCAAGAAGGAAGTAAACAGAGTTAGTTCCTGGGCTTGTCTCCCACCTAGGCCTCTGTCCTTGTGCCATCAGAGAAGAGAACCATCATGTGCATGGAGGCGGCAGCTGGGTTTTTTTCTCTTTCAGCAGAAATGCCCTCCCCATTCTCATGGCTAGGACTGGGTAATGCATGCCTTTCTTGAGTTCCCAACCATGGGGCAAAGGGCGCTGTACTCCTCGACCCTAGTGGGGACAGGGAGGAAACTTGCTTACAAAAGGTATTTTTATTTCCTAGTGGTGATGTATTCACTTCTAGAGCAGTTGCTCTCAGGATGGTGTGAAAATACTCCACGTCTCTGGAGTAATGGGATTGTTAGTGATCTGCAGGGTCTCATTGACATTTGCTGATGTAGCACCAAGGAATGATACCCAGACCATGCAGTCACCCCCAGGAAATGGGGGCTACTGACACTGTACCCTCCTTTCTCTAGGGGTCCAGGAAGGCGGAAAGCTGCCAGCAGAGTGGCTGCCACTGGGCAGCTCAAGGCCACAATGCCTCTTGCCTCTGGGGGAGGGTTAGCACAGGGGACGTTCTGGCCAGAGGAGGGGTCTGATGTGCTGATAAGTTAGCCGACCTACCTAACAATCCCCAGCTGTGAAAACTGCCCTTGAGTTGGGCCACTCCAGTATCCCACCTCTCTAATGGAAGGTAACTCCTCCCCATATTGACCTTGGGGAATTATTCTTTTTAACCCTTTATACCAAATAAATTGCTAATCCCTGCCTGGATTTTCCCCTAAGAGGGTGAGGCCGTGTGAGGCTGATGTGTGTGATGGGACCAGCTGAATTGGAGGCTGTTTCTCTGCATCCTAGGTGAAGTGGCTTGTCTGAGAGGCCACTGCGGAGCTGGCCTATCCCAGAATAGGTGTGACCTGGCCTTCCCTGGATCGGGTTGGGGAGGGGGTATCTGCCCTCTGAGGAGGGAAGGGTGAGGAAGAAAGGAGCCTGATCCCTCTGGAATCCTCCCTACCCTGGAGCCAACTCACTGCCAGGTTCAGTGTCCTGGCTTCAAATGCCCTCTCAGCCGGATGAAACCCTGAAGAGGTTACAGGATAGGGCTCTTCGTCATTCCAGCTCCTATGGTCAAGAGGGTTATCACAGATGTGGCAGAGACAGGAGTGGCCTTCAGTGATGGGGGGCTGTGGGCAGGGACAGTGATGGGTGACTCAGAGCATCTGTCTTCATAGTCTGTTCCGTCCGCCCCACTTTCTTCACAGGCTCCTTTTCCCTGCAGTGGGCTCTGCTGTGAGGCAGGTTCCAGTAAATGGAGCCAGGGTTTTGGTTTGACAGGGGAGTTTGATCCTTCAGGAAAGAACCATCTCCAAAACTACTCCTCATCCTGTCTCTTCTGCCACCCAGTTCTACTAGGAAAGGAACACTTAGGAGGCTCCTGGGAGCCAGTAAATCCCAGGCAATGCCAGCGTTTTGTGGGGCTGAGGCAGAACCTAGGAGCTCCAGGGAAAGAGCATCCATGGAGCTCATCTCTCGTGGAATCACTACCGGGTAGAGCGCTGAGGTCAGCCAGTCCTCCCGGGGGACATGACACCCACTGGGGAGGCATGCCTGGCCTCTTCTTTACTGCCAGCCTTGAGGAGAGCAGAAGCCTCCATTTTTAAAGACAATAAAGACCCACAAAGGTACTTCTTTGGAAATGAAATGTAGCACAATCTCAGCCTGCGTTACCAGGACCTCTGACGTGTAGCCAGGGTCCTTACTGCAGGCCCTGCTGCCCAGGAGATGCGAGCTCCTCTTCCCCTGGGGTTCCAGAACTCCTAATACCTCACATTCCCCATCTTCCTCAGCCCAGAACGCAGCGGGGCTTTAGTAAGGCTGCTCTTCTGTGTTTCTCCGACTGCTTCTAGCACTGTGCAAACTCTGTGCAAGAAATTGCTGCCTTCGCTCCTTGTCGTAGATAAGCTGCTCTCCACCTGCGGGAGAGATGGCCCGTCAGTCAGGGCCAGGAGGTTGGCCAGCAGTGTGTCTGCAGTGGCCGCAGGGAGATGGAAAAGAAGAGGCCTGCTTCCCTGCCACCTCCTGCCCTCCCCTCCCTCTCCTCAGAATTTTCTTCTCCAATATCCTGACACATAAAGAGATTCTTGAAAATGCTGCTTCCTCTACTGGACTGTCTTTCACTGAGTGATCAGGGAGGCGATGAAGAGGTGGACGTGTCCCCTGCATTCTCCCTCAAGTCTGCTTTTCACTCAGGTCAGAAGAGGCTGGGGCAAAACAAGCATTATTGAAGAGCAGGGGCACCCCCCACCATCAGGTGAGGCCTGGTGGGGGCTGCACTGGTCTGGCTGGGAAAGAGTGATTTTGAAAGAGTGCCTGAGCATCTCAGAGCAATGTCAGTGATGCCAAAGAGAGCAACTTGGCCTCCTCGGGCACCAACTCTGCCGGCTGAGCTCCACGAATGTGGCTCAGATGTTGGCGTGCCCAAGGGTGGGACCTTGTTCTCTGACAAAGGGCTTAATCTTTCCATGTAGCAAAGTAACTCCTCCTCCCCCCAACCCTAAGCTTGGGCTTTTGTGGGCCCAGCATTGCTGTGCCTGTGAGGGAAACCACATCAGTGAGAGAAACTTGTATTCTCTTGGGCTTAGACTGGCATGGGGCAAGGTGCTTGTTGAAACATATGAGTGTTTCTGCTTTGGGAAAACCTTCCAGAGCTCTGGCTGAAAACTTGGCCAGTAAGGACCGAGCCTTGGGCCTCCCAAAGGAGTTCACACTGATGCCAAGAAGGGTCCACAGGACTGGATTCCAGACAGTCTTGGCTGAAGGAAATGAGGCCCGGGAATTTCAGGGGCAATGGAGCATCTGCCCCATTAGCCAATGACCTGGACAGGGATAGCTGGCCACAGGAAATCAAAGGCTGTTCTAGAGAGTTTTGCCAGAAACCGTGACTTTGTGCAAGACTTCTCACTTTCCTGGGCCTCAGCTTCCTCATCTGCAGAATCAGAGCATTAGCTGGTTACTCTGCGGTTCCCTCCAGGGTCTAAGAGTCTCTGATCTGGAGCTGATGAGGGTTGCCAGCCTGTGCACCTGGTGCCTGGTTCCGCAAGCCGGTTTCTCCCAGCGCCTGGTGCCCACGCTGGGCACAGGTCTTCATCTGCTCGGTGCCCAGATGCTGCTTCTGCCAAGAACTCTGGGAATCCTCACAGA